AGGTAAAATCGAAATTAGGAAAACTCTTTTGAAAAAAAAAATATTACTAACTGGTCTTTTACTGAGTATATAGAACTGTTACAGTGACTCGTGTTAGTGCATATGACAAAAGAAATTTGGGGATAGGTTGGATAATGGATTTTATTACTTTTGGATTTGAAAACATGGAAGAGCAAATATGACTAGGCATATGTGGACACATATTGATTCAAAATGGTTAAAATTTTATTCGAATAATGAGCTCAAATATAATTAGTTATACACCCTAAACTATTTGGATGTAAATCTTGTATCTTTATTGGACCAAACTCACAGTAGAATCGAGTGGATGTGAGATACCCTTCACATACTTTTCATTTAATTTTTTTACGAAAGTTAGAATGACAAGCCATTGCGTTCGTAAACAAAAAATATATATAAGAGTCAAGAGGTCATACATAGAATATACATTAAAATAAAACTTGTTTTAAGTTGTTTTTTTGCCTCAGTTTTATTATTGTGCAATTTTATATAGTTGCTCCTTTTCCTCCTACAACATATTCTCGTTGGGCCATTTGTTTGTAGGCCACAATATAAGTAAGTATAACTGTATATTTAACCTTCATGGGCTGAACCCTTTTTTTATTATCAGCCCTTATCAAGTGGCCCAAGTTCTGACTAAGACCATGTAGTTGCCAAACAATGTGTCAGATGTAAATACTAACGGGAATTAAAACTTATTATCCAAATTTTTTTTTTAATAAATACATTCTCATTTCTCTTTTTCTAAAGTTTGCACTTTTTTTAATCTTATCAATTCTTTATTTCATCATAACTTATTATCTGTATTTTCCTCCTATATAATAATTTAATTCTACCACAATTTATATATACAAGTATATCATGAAATCAAATATTCAGATAAATAGTTCCTTAATATCCTAATTTAGTGTTATATTCATCAATCATAATTAATTATTTTTTTCATGCAAACATCTTATTATGTATTTCATACTAAATAATGTGTTAGTAATGAGATATAAATTTATTTTCATTTCTTTATAATTTTTCTAGCTGGAAGTCTAAGTTAGGATTCTCCACAAGCCCGCTCTCAATGCCAACTCTTTATGGTCAAAGTTAATATTGTTCTAAGGTCTAAGTGGCAAGTACATACTAGTTAGGAAAAAGATTGCATTAATGAAACTTGATAGTAAGCTATACTATACATGTACTTTTTCATATAGCTGAAGTCCTCCCTCTGGTTACATGATACTAATCATTCTAGGGTACTTGTATCCCTAATTTTTGAACTTACAAGAATCTGGTTGATAGTGTTGGGATTGTGTCTTTGATCTTTGTAGAACTTCATAAGAATTAGATAGGGCTAGAGATCTATCATGATTAGGAGTTTGGGTTCCATCATGATAAGAAGTTTGAATCATATTCTAATTAGGAAGTTAGGATAGAGATAGGGTTTGGTTTCCCTATATATATTCTTCTATTGTAGGAGGAAAAACTAAGAAGAAAAGAGTAGAGAGAAAGTGTAGTTGAGAGCGAGAGAGAGAGAGCCAATATTCTTGTATTCTAGGGTTAGCAGAGGTCGTAGCCTGATTCAAGAATATTGTGCGAGAGGCGAGAGTTTCGTGATCTTTATCCGTGCAAAAGATTACAAGTAGTGGGCTTTTGAGAGAATATGAGAGTTAATTATGTATGTGAGGTTGAGAGATTGAGAGACGAGAGTTGAATGGTTCATCTTGTAGTTCTTCCTGATACATAGTGGATTTCTCGTATTATTGCCTGTGAATGTAGGTCGAAGTTGGTCGACCGAACCACGTAAATCTCGGTGTTCTTTTTTCTTGATTGTGATCGTTTTTTATCTTGTTGATTATGGGTTGGCTTTGGAGTTGTGAATATTTTAGTAGACAGGGAGAGTGAAATTCCCCAACAAGTGGTACTAGAGCGATAGTGATGGATCCGGGAGCGATTTCTTGAGATAGAAGACTACGTCGTGCAAGATTAAAGATCGACGTTACCAGAATCAAGATGAAAAGAAAAAGAAAAAGAAAAAAAATTAATTACATCAGCGGCATACTGTAGCGGCTGAGAACTATAGCGGTACTGTAGCAGAGACTTTGTAGCATCACGGGATACTGTTCACGCAGATCCAATGGTTGAAATTGATTTGTCTTTTAACCGAGGATTTGGAGGCGGATTTTGGTGATCTAGGAGTCGTTCCTAGGGTTTTTCGACATGCTGAGTTCGTCTTTGGTGTCGATTTTATCAAATTAAATCTCTACAATGACTGATTTGAATTTTGATCATGGTTAGAGAATGATGACTTCTTCAAGTCTGAATTTTTGATATTCCGCTATTTAATGACAACACAAATCTGATGGTAGATAAGGTGCAGGAGTTTGTTGGTGTGCAAACTCATGGAGGATAGTGTCATATTAGGTGGAGCTTACAAGCGGGCACGACCGAGTTACGCATAGGGATGGAGATGGTGACATTGGACTTGAAGACGATGAGCGCTCATATTCAGTCCAAGGTAAGTGATGGAGGAGATAGAGGCATCCGGCTCGCAGTGTGAAGTAGGAGAGGTGTACCAATATGATTCGAGAAGAGCGATGTAGGTGGAACACAAGGACAACAAGTAGGGGGTGGCTATTGTCAAGCTCAAGTTGGGAGGACAAACATGATTGATTTGCTTATATTGTCAGAGGTGGCAAAGATCTATTGGTGCACACAAGAGAGGTGGAGGCGCCACGGTGAAGCAGATAATAGTGAGGGTCACGAGACAACTAGTTGGAGTGCAGGTGTTCTTATTAGGAGTGTGGCTGCTTCGATTTGAAGTGCGAAAGAAATAGAAGACTCTAGCGGGAGAGGCAAAGTTTCAAGACGACGATGGTATATCTTCAAGGGAGTTTGGGAATCAAATCCAAGGTGAAGATTATTGGGATTGTGTCTTTGATTCTTTGTAGAACTTTATGAAAATTAGATAGGGTTAGAGATCTATTATGATTAGGAATTTGGGTTCCATAATGATTATGAGTTTGAATCCTATTCTAATTAGGAAGTTAGGCTAGAGATAGGGTTTTGGTTTCCCCATATATATTCTTCTATTGTAGGAGGAAAAACTAAGAAGAAGAGAGTAGAGAGAAAAATGTAGAAGAAAGAGAGCTAATATTCTTATAATCTAGGGATAGCAGAGGGAGTAGCTTGATTCAAGAATACTAGTTGGATTGCACGTGCAATGCACGTGGTAAAAATTTTAATATTATTTTAAATTATATTTTTAGTTAGGGAAATATTTGATATACATTTATTGAATATAAACAATATAGCCAACATATGAACAAAAGCTAAAATTTCATAACATTTGAACAATAAAGTTATATTCAAGGATCAATTAGGCTATAGTATAGTGGTTGTATCTACAAGGTGATTGATCAATTAAAGACTATCACAAGAATATACCTAAAAGTAATGTTTGATGATGTGGATTTAAATCCAAGCTTATGACATTAGAGCCTTGCTAAGTCTTCGCACTATCTAATGTATGAGTACATATATTCACCCATGAAAATTTTAAAATCCCATAAAAAGATCCAAAACACTCATTAAGGTTTCTACAAACTAAGGCTTGGCAAGCTCCAAACACACCCTTTCCATAATACAAAATTAGAGTAGTACTATTTTTTATTGCACAAACTTATTTTTTACCTTGCAGTTTTAACTACATGAACCTTTTTAGTTTGACGATGATTTGTTGATTTGGGATGGCTTTCCTTGAATCATACTCTTGGATTATCTAGGGTTTCTTATTGATCAACTGTTACAAGATAATATCTTTTAGCATATATTAAGTTGCCAAAAATCAAGCGAAATGGAAAGAAAGAAAAGTACTTGTGCAAACTTATCATCGGTATAGGCTTGCATAATATTCTTATTTAGCTCACTTGGCACTCGTTCATCTTGTTGGACATTAAATTGAAACGTCGAAAAAGAATATGGAGATATTTATTAGCTATCTAAAATTGGTTGTGCTAATAGGATGGAAGAGAAAGATGCAAGTACATGATTTTCACACATCTATATTCCTATTGTGGGGAAAAAATAACCAACAAAATTAATACTCCAAGGTTTTTTCAAATATTCCGTCAACAAAAGTTTTTGTGCGGTCGAGATCACAAAAAATAGTTCATTTGGCTAATTTGGCTCTGTTGTGGCAGGTTCATCAACTACAGATTGTTTAAGGAATATGTTACCCCAAGTAGCATTGAACAAAATTCTTTCAAAAGCCATGGATTTTCCTTTCAATACAAGGCCACTAACAAAATCAAGCTTTACTTGCTTTGACGGATCAGTTAGCATTTTCTAAAAATAGTAAAATAGAGTTATCATTTAGCTAATTTGGCTCTTTGTGAATATATAATAGAACAAAACAAGGTTCGAGTCATACGGCTCCAAGAGCAAAGGACTTTCAAGACCATCACATAATTAGCGAGCTTCAATTTCTAATAGCAAGAAGTGGCATCATTTGAGCTGAGTTAAAAAACTTGCCAGCCTGTAAGATAGGCCAAAAATATTACTCTTTTGTTACACAAACAAATTGCATTCTAAATATATTTCCATTGTTCAGATTCTAAAAAGACTAATGTTTTAAATGGAAATTTATAATTGTTAGCATTATCCTACTTTTTCAAAAGATTCACTTTATATTCTTGAACTCAATAACAAATAAAAACATACAAAAAGAGAATTGTATGCGCACATCAACTAATTAAAGAAAATAAACAAATGCCTTTTGTACAACAAGCATACACTCCAATCTTAACTCATAATTTAGAAGCATAACATCACCACTATGAAGTTTCTGAATGAATGTAAATTTCATAATAACTACGAAATATTTCATTCCAAACTATGAAACTTTTGCATAATTATAAATCTCTACAGTTTGGCATCGAAGAATAGGGCATATTTGTAATATTTATACGCCCTCATGAATCCATAGAGCATAACAGCTAAATATAAACATACATAAAAATATAAAACAGTCTCATTCAACAATTTAGAAGCATTACAACAATAAATTTTCTTCATAAATTGTTAAATTTTCATAATGACCACAAAATTTGTGCCAAATCCTGGATCTGTGCATAGAAAAACCATTCGAAACCTTTGACATCCAGCCATCGATACTTTGCTCGTATAGCTGCCTGAAAATAATTTGGCTATGAATTCAGCAATCCCATCAACCACATTCTCATCACTAATTATAACATAATTTTCATTGTCAATTCCACACACTTCCTCCAAATTATCTGGAACCATCTCTTTTGTTACCCAAATCCACTGAGAAGGGTCTCCATTGATATTATTGGAAAAGGTCAACTTTTTTGAGATCTGCTTCAATGCATAAAATATACAACACATGAAAAATAGAAAGTGGTGAAAACATTTACCTGCATCAAATAAACTTAATTCAACTCGAGTTAAGGAGGGAACCAACCTGTAACTTCAATAGGAAGATAACTGTTTGGCATAACATTGGACTCCTGATGAAGTGATTCAAGTTTTGTCAAGTAGCTTGAAGAATCAACTGCAGCCTCAAGGCATGCATATAGCTGCAATAAAACAGAGCTTATCATTTCATATTATCAAAATCATAAACAGATGAGATTTACATTTTAAGCATCTATTCAGCTCTCCATTTAACTTGATTTAAATGAACAAATCCACCCTGATATTGACTTCCACACTTATCCAGAAACAACAATATAATTAACAGTGTATGCACATAGAAAGTTTTACTCAAAAAGTGAATTAATTGGATGAGCTAAAAAAGTATCAAAGCATAAAAAGTGCAAGCATAATAACTATTCTAAGGTGCAATATGCAAGGTGCAGAATTCATGAACAAAGAAAGCTCTGCCAGAACAATGAATTGGACGTTAACAAGCTACAAAATCATACAATCCTACAAAATGCAAGCATCAAAATCATTCTAAGAGGTGGTAAGCATTAGGCTCTTTGGCTTTTCTTTTTTCTTCCTCTAATCACTCTTGGTCATCAGGAATGAACAAACAAATTAAGTACAGATTTGGTAGCAAATTATTGAATGTAAGCAATGAATCAAACATATAAACATAAGTAACACATGCTTTACAAATCGAATCAAACAGTAAGGTGCTTGTATTTGTATTTGTTAAAAAAATTAATTACAAACTAACACATACATTACAAACTGTGAATTAAAGAGACTTTAGAAACTTCATTCAAGGAAAATACTAAGTATTTTTAAGTAAGGTATGAATCAAATCACTACTGTTTCTTTTTTTCATTGCGCAAATACAATGTAGCATAGATGTTTGGTAAAATGTCAAAGAGATATGAGTATTATTGTATGAACTTTTATTTGTTCTTGGTATTGTCATGGTCTCACGGTATACATATATTTTTGTACATTATATCAATCCTAATGTAGTTTAGACCACATTGACTCATATCCTAATGTAGTTTAGACCATCATAAGTAGTAGACATCAATCGAATTGAAAAGCTATAACCGTGAAAAGTTATAATCGTGAAAATCAGTTGCAAAAAGCTTCTGTAGTGAATAAAAGAAGACTATCAATTAATAGCGAATACTTGTTAACATAAAGCTTGGTTTGAACAGAGAGCCTTGAACATAGCATATGCTTTGTATTTTACTGAATAATCACATATGTGAACAATGATATATATGCAATTGGTGACCCATAACATCATGCATGCAACAGAAAGCTATTTCACAAAACATGAAAAAACATATAAATGAAGTAGATTATCATTGATCTATATACTCAACAGAAAGCTATTTCACAAAACATGAAAAAACATATAAATGAAGTAGATTATCATTGATCTATATACTTAATCACTACAACATAAGTTCTTAAAGAAAAAACATATAAATGAAGTAGATTATCATTGATCTATATACTTAATCACTACAACATAAGTTCTTAAAGAAAGGCAATACAATATAATTCTCCAATAAGCACTATAAAATATATTGACAATTAAACTATTATTTATTTTTAATTCAAGCCTAAGAATAAACCATCCAAGACCCAAGTAGCAAATGATGATGCCTTGAGGATGCTAGTTAGATCTGGTTTGAATTGAAAGTTAAGCATTTAACATTTACTTAAACTAAATACAAGCATGCATAGCCAGAAAAAAGCTTATGTTTTCTATTTCAATTCAATCAAAAAAGTTATAATCATGAAAATCATTGGAAGCAAAAAGCTTCCGTAGTGAATAAAAGAAGACTATTAATTAATAACGGATACTTGTTAACATAAAGCTTGGTTTGAACAGAAAGCCTTGAAGATAGCATGTGCTTGGTATTTTATAGAAAAATCACATATGTGAACAATGATATATTTGCAATTGGCGACCCATAACATCATGCATGTAACAGAATGCTATTTCACAATACATGAAAATGGCAATGTGTCGTAAAGTATCTAATAAACCAATTGGATCTTCTTCTGTTTGTGAATATTAAATTGTACCTATTTGTACTAAAAAAGATTTCTTTGTTTGTGCTGAATTAAAATCTAATATTAGACAGAACACCATGTCACATTGTCCGGCGTTGCTTAAAGAATAGCTACCAAGTAATATCCTTTGGATGTAATAATATTTCCATATCAAGAACGCATGTAAAGTTGGAGGTCAGTTTTCTGAGGTTGCCAAGATGCTAATAAATTGGATTGCCGAAAAGAGCCCTTTCAGATAGCCTATTAATTAAGGAAGAAAGGTTATTGATATGAATAAGGGAATGAAATACTATAGAATTCCTTGAGAAAGAGAAAGCCGTGATTCAGGCATGAAATGTTTGATTTGGAGAAAATCAATTATTTAAATGCCAACAGATGTAATAATTTTTGAGTCATAGATAATTTCCTGAAGACGACTTATAAGCAGAACATCATAAATTGTATCGCTTAATTAATGGTTACAAGTTCCTCGAGGAGGCTTGACATCCTTAATGAATGAAAGCTAGATGAGTTTAATGCATGAAATGTATGAAAACTTTTCCATATGTTAAGAATAGTTGGTTTTCATATATAGTTTACTTTATGAAAGTCTTGTTTGTGATTATTTTTTGTTCATTTGCTTCTGTTCTCTTTAATTATATGTCTAAGAGAAAGAATGTCATCACAATGCAATTATTTACTTGCTCTCATGAGGGTTATTCTAAAAGCAAAAGGAAGGAGCCATTAATTAGGGATAGCACATTCGAGAAAAGTCCTTCGAAGGAGATATCTAGCATTCGAACTGGTTGCAAAGGAAGTATGCGTGTGAAATTAGATGATGAAGAAAATTGGATCATATCATCCTTTGAACAGAAGCACAACCATGAATTAGTACCGATCCCCTCAAAATCTCGTTTCTATCAATGTCGGCGAAAGATTAGAGTTGAAGAAGCCGACCTTATACGAACTATGCGTGAGCAAAATATTTCAACAAAGCATATTAGGGACTTCATTGCATCTCAACGTGGAGGGGTTCGTTATTTCAACAAAGCATATTAGGGACTTCATTGCATCTCAACGTGGAGGGGTTCGTAATTTATCATTCACGAGGAGGGACCTAAGCAACTTTGCAACGCGCCAAAGAATGTCTCTGTTTAATAGTGATATCTCAACGACATTGAGTTATTTTCAACAACTACAAGCTGAGAATCCTATGTTCTTTTATGCAGTCCAGATTGATAGTAATAATTGTGCAAAAAATATGTTTTGGGTTGACGGGAGATCAAGGATGGCCTACCAGCATTTTGGAGATGCTGTCACTTTTGATACCACCTATTGTACAAACAAGTACAGTATGCCATTTGCACCATTCATCGGGGTAAACCACCATTCTCAAACTATATTACTAGGTTGTGCTTTGATTAGAGATGAGACCGTGGAATCCTTCATGTGGGTGTTTCGAACATGGCTTAATGCAATGTTTGGTAAGCATCCTACTTGTATTCTGACAGATCAAGATCCTTCAATGAGGAAAGCAATAAGTGAGGTCCTTCCTAATACGGCTCATCGGTTTTGTAAGTGGCACATTCTTCGGAAAGCACACGAGCATATAGGCATTTTATTTGGCACAAAAGAGAAGTTTCAAGAGGACTTTCTTAGTTGCATTAATTTTAGCTTAACAGTTGAGGATTTTGAGTCAAGTTGGACTTCTATGATAGAGAAGCATAGACTTGAAGATAACACACATCTAAAACATTTGTATCAAATTCGAGATAAGTGGGTGCCATCATACTTTAGAAATATATTTTGTGCTTTCATGTCTACAACGCAAAGAAGCGAAAGTTTTAATGCACTTCTCAAAGGTAGAGTCAACAATCATACAACAATTTATGAGTTTGTCATGCAATATGAAAAGGCTTTAGAAGATCGATATGACATAGAAGAGGAAGAGGATTTTCGCTCTCTGCAATACAAGCCAAGTTCGTGGTCTCCAAGCCCAATAGAGAGACATGCACAAAAGATTTATACTAGAGCAATGTTTAGGGTCTTTAAGGATCAACTAAAAGAGATATTTTCATTTTCTCTGAATGAAATGGAGCCTAAAGCATTGTACAAACTAGTGCAAGTCCCAAACTCAGAAAAACCAAGTGCTAGAAGAAGAACTTATATGGTTACCTTCCAAGCCCCTGCGACAGTATCTTGCAATTGTAAAATGTTTGAATTTAGTGGAATGGTGTGCTCGCATGTGCTTAAGGTGCTTTTGCATCTTGATATCTTTGAAATACCCTCTGAATATATTTTAAAGAGATGGACAAAGTCAGCTAAGGAAGAAAGTTTTGATACGCACCAATGTCTTAGCATTGAATCGTCAAATTCCTCCTCAAAGACTCTAATGTTTAATAGTTTGTCTCGAAAAATAATGAAATTGGTTGCAGAAGGTTCCACGTCTATTGAGTTGTATAATTTGGCAAATAAAAAAATAGATCAAGTTATGGGAGAATTAGTAGCGGCAAAAATGCACTTACAAGAGAATAAATCGATGCATGATGACATGACACAAATCCAAGGTTCTGCATGTTCTCAAGCACAAGAAAGTATTATTGATAATAATTGTATGGTGAGAGCTCCTCCTATTTCAAATTGCAAAGGAAAAAGAAAGATGCAACGTTTCAAGCCTCATTCAGAGTTGAAAGCTAAGAAGCAAAGAACTTGTGGGAAATGCCATGGGAAAGGCCACAATAGTCGAACTTGCAAGGAAAAATTACTTTTTATTCTCAAATGTGGGACAATGTTCCTATGCAAAGTATGATATTTCTAATTTTTTTGATGAATAATGAGATTTGTGTAGGCCCAAGCAACAAGTCAAGTAGGAAGCATCATTGAGGAAGAAGAGGAAGATCTGGAAGACCAAGAAGAAGAGGATGAAGATGTTGAAGAATATTACTACTGAGAATGCATTCTAATCTTTCTTTTGTTTGTCAATGTTCTTTCTGAAGATGTTGAAGAATATTACTACTGAGAATGCATTCTAATCTTTCTTTTGTTTGTCAATGTTCTTTCAAAGCTCTCTGGATATGTGAAGTTACTTTATGGCCTTAAAATATTTTTATGTTTGTCATTTTATTTTCTAACTTGATGATGGTTTACATGTTTGCGAGTCTTGAGGGTAAAAGGGTCTACTAAGTAACTATAGTGTTAGAAAGTGCACAACCATAAATTAGAAAGCATTAAGAACCTGGCAATAACCACATATATAACTTAATCTAAGAAGTAAAATCAGTTATGACAGGAAATTAGAAAGTCACTCTCATGAGAGAGATATCTTCTAATCAAGTCAAGAAAATTGCAAAAGATAAGAGAAACCATGAATTTATTTACAATTTTTTATTCATATGATTTCTTTTGGCACTAATGACCTCATATAACCCTCTCTAGTCTCCAGTCTTGTATAAGAATAAGTTTGTAAAGATAGACAACAGTGGGCATTCAACAAGACTAATTTAGAGAAGCACCATAATATTGTTTTCCATCTACAAAAATCCTGCGACATTTGATCAATGAGCAATTGCCAATATGTATCACAAAAGACTGAAAGAGTCGAATAATCCACCTGTGTCATTGGCAAATGAGCAATAATAAACTTGAGACTTTCTATACTGCAGATTGGTAATTTAAGCTTCGATAGTTCTTCACATAAAGTTTTCTTTAACAATTTGCAAAAATATCTATATATGCACAATTTGGTAGAAGTTACTTCAATAAGTAGATTCCCAGACAATAAATAAAATCACATAAGAGAAAGTCAGAATAATCTGAAAGAAACTTGACTGACTCGCATGCATGAAAAGCTGAGACATTTGAATAGTCAATACCGATATTCTATCTCTTTAATAAACACATAAAAGAGAAAGAAATTTTTTGGATGTATGATCCTGTCTGTTATCTTACTGGAGGATCATCATTCTCATCATCATTATCATAATACTCCACAAATTTATCAAGGGCATCCTTCATCCAGCTATGCCTACAAAGTTGAGAGGCTTCTGGAATCGTAAGCCATTTTCTCTCGCGCTTTTCTTGCTCTGGCCATGAGTCGAGCTCCTCATTCACATACAAGGCAAACATCGATGCTTTGCAGTTTGCACCATCCTTCAGGGCTGAACTCGTCCTGGAGATTCTTGCTTCTGAAGTCGTAGTCATTCAAGTACTTCTGATATCATGCATATTAGCCCACATGGGTTAAACCACTTCTTTGTTGGTTTAAGCGAACCATAGGGGCCCCAAGCAATACAAAATCCTTATAGAAAATCTTTAATAGGCATAAGCTCAGGAGCGATTTAAAAGTTTGGCAATTTTAGATGCATGCAAAAAAATCTGTTGGGTAATTCACACATGTCACTATGTTGAACAAAAACCCACGAGGAATCTGATATCCACCATTTCCATCCGGCCTTCTAAGATTTCTCAAAATCAGGTAGCAGTATAAGTTCGAAACTTGAAAGACCAACCCAAACCCAAATCCAATTTTCATCTGCAAATCACTCACAGGAGTATAATGCGGGTGGTAAGCGATATATGCCCCAAAACTCCAATAATAATCATAGTTTCTGAAGACATTGGAGAGAGGGGAAGTTGCATGGCTGAATCTATGAACACAGAATGTCTCATCCCAACTAAAACGTGTAAGAAACAAAGGAGAAAAAAAAGAGGAACTAAAACCTGGTTCGTCTCTGATTTGGTTCCGAATCGGAATCGGAGCACGGCGGAATCGGAATCGGAGCACGGAGGAATCGCAAGGCGGTGATGATTGGGGGCGATTGAAAGAAGCGGTGTTCAGTTTTGTTTTATGCTACAGAGGCGGTGATGATTTGGTTTTCTTTTATGCTGCAGAATATATTAAGATAGATTTCCTATTTTGTGTTGATTTATTTTATATATATATATATATATATATATAATCCAATAAAACAAATAAATTGTATAACAAATATTAATATTTACCTTGATAGATGAGAGAATCAGCAACCTCCAAATACTTAATCCTGTAAATAATGCATGAAAACTGAAAAAATTAGAAAAATATCAATTGCCATAAAAATTAATTACAGTGCAAGAAAATAAACTAAATTCCAATGCATAGAACCTAAATTGCCTCAGAGAAAGCAATCGACGCGTGTTAGGCGTTCTTTTATAGAAGATTGTTCGCGGGAAAAATTGTTGCTTTCTTCATTAATGATTCCATTGTACACTCTTGTAATAGTCTATCGATTACAAAGATCCGGTCTTTTTATAAGATCCGGTTACAACGAAAATCAAATTGAAAAGAAATGAAAATTACAACTTTGTTTCCTTGTTTGTCGAACGAATCACGAGCTCCTGTTTTGCGGTTGCTCGCTTTGTGGGTTCTTTGCCTGCGCCGGGGTTGTTTGCCGTGGACCACCGCACGATCTAGATCCGGTCGGATCTACGCAGTACAACGGGTATTATTTCACCAAGGAAATAATAGCCGGGGAGTATTGTTTCACCAAGGAAACAATCGTCCAAATCTCGGGATCAAAGACCAAGCTTTGATCCGGAGTGTAGCAACGTAGATCTGAGATCCGATCCTCTCGAACACCTGCCTTATTTGACGTTGATGATCGCCGAGCACCAGATCTGGATGAGCAAGTCCTTGATGTCCCAAAGTTGAGATCTTTTTTAGATCTGAGTCTCCAGTCCTGCAGGGCTTCGCCTCCTCCAAAATCCAACCTTCTCAAATGAACAAAGGGGAGCCTATTTATAGGCTCTCTGAACTGTGCCCGCGCACAGATCTGGGTCGGCCACCCATGGGTGGCCGGCACTGGGCCGAGCCACCCATGGGTGGCTCGGCTTTGGCCAAGCCCCCCTTGGGCTTTTCTATTTCGTCGTTTTGTCCGTTGTATCCGTTTTTTCGGTTGACTTAGACTCTAATTTGGCAGTAAATCTGATTCCTGTTTTGGCAGTAAATCCACTTCTGAGTTCGAGTCCGAAACTGATCTTGATTCGATCGTGATTCGTCCGAGTCCGCTCTCGGTTGGATGACTCGTTGACTTAGCTTCGATGTTGTGGTCTAACGATCATGCTTGGATACATCGCCCGATGGTTCATTGGTTTGTCGAATCACCATACCGAGCTGTGTTAAGGGACCTATAAGCAGTTTTATACGCCTACAGATACCCCCTCCAAAGTATTTCAGCCTCGTTCTTTTATAGAAGAGTCTGGAATACTTTGGATATGATTGTCCCAACCTTCAATCGGTGTGACGGGACTTTGGAATGGCTTCTGTTCTTGATTCCTTCAATATTCCAGGCTATTCGATGCTTTATCGAATGTCTGTAAGAGTTCCGATGCTGCATTTATTGTCTGACCGTTGTTGGAATTTTAAACTTGAAGTCGATTCCTGATTTTCTAATCTTTAGCTCGTGTTTGTTGGTTCAACATAGAACTGACCATCGATTGTTGGCGTTGAGTCTTTATTTGCGACGCGTTGTCCGGCGTAGTGTTGTTGAGTTATCCTTAAGAATATTTTTAGAAAAAATATCTCCAGAAACTTCTCAACCAAAAATAGGAAATAGTTTATACTCGTATACCTCATTGGAGTATTTTTCTTGTTCGAATGAGTTGAACCGGCCTAATAATGAGCTGAACCGGCATGATATTGACCCAAAAAAGACAGTAATTAGGCTCAAAAAAATCTTCCAACCCTTCCGAATGTGTGGGAGAGGCAAGCATAAACAAAGGATTGAACCCTCGGTCGATTTGAAGTTGTTTCGATGCTCGATTCAGCTTCAATTTGAATTCTGGTTCAAACCAGTCTTTGTTTGGATGACTCCTAGCGTTGACTTCTTCGAAACCTTGGCTTGATCCACACGTGAATGGATGTATCCGTTGCTATGTCGTTGCCATTCGTTAACCTCGTCGCATCGTTGGTTCGCTCGGTTTGTGCCGTGCCTTATTATGCTAAGTGGACCTATAAGCATTTTATACGCCCTACAATTACCCCTCCAAAGTATTTCAGCCTCGTTCTTTTATAGAAGAGTCTGGGAATACTTGATATGATTGTCCCAACTTCAATCGCGTGCTGACGGGCACTTGTGGAATGCTTCTGCTTCTTGATATCCTTCAATATTCCACCTTAATTGCGATGCTTTTTAGTTCGAATGTCATTAATAGCTTGCGAGCTGCCATTTATTGTCTGACCCGTAGTTGAATTTTAAACTGAAGTCCGATTCCTGATTTCTAAATCCTTTAGCTGACCATCGATTAGCTTTGGCGTTGAGTTTTTATTTACCGCACGGTTTGTCCGGCTGTTAGTGTTGTTGACGTTATCCTTAAGTAATATTTATGAAAATATTCTCCAGCGAACTTCTCAACCAAATAGGGCAATAGTTTTATACTCCGTCATACCTTAATTGGAGTATTAAGAAGCAGCTTCACTATACTCGGTATACGTTTTCGCGAGTGGTGATTCTTTCATTGCAACGCATTATTGGCGTTTGACCTAGGCGTTACGCGTTTTGACGACGTTGACTAGGCGTTCGAATGTCTGTACGTTGGACTTTTAGACGGCAACGCGTTGAACTCGCGTTGACCTAGGATTACCGTTTTGCCATCGGACCGTTGACCCTTGGGTTTTCGAATTTTCGTACTGTTACTTTTGATCGTAACGCGTTGATGGCTTTGACCGTAGGGTTACGCGTTGTGACAGTTGCCGGTTCATGTCCTGTTAGTCTGCTTTGTATCGCACATCGACGTTGACTATCCTTTGATCGCAATCTGCGCGGTGTACGCTCGGTTGACCGCTGTTAACCCTAGGGTTTCGAATGTCATAGGATGGCCCTCAAGTCACCTGAGACCAAACTAATGAAGCTGATGCGTCAGTGACTCTAGCATTTATAAGATTTTTGGCAAACCCCCAGCCATCAACGGGTTTGATGAGCCTTTACCGACTACCGTTTGAGTCGGGCTAGCATGCGGATTATATAAATCTGTTCCGCATGTGACGTTGTGCTAAGAGAGTTAACGCTCTTAGTGCTACGATATTGAATACGTAGACTTCGTCTTTCTCACGGGAATAGACTACCCGGCGACGCGTGTTAGGCGTTGTCTTTAGGATTTTTGGCTAACCCCCAGCCTTCAACGGATTTGATCAGCCTTTACCGACTACCGTTTGAGTCGGGCTAGCATGCGAATTGTCTAAATCCGTTCCGCATGTGATGTTGTGCTAAAGGAATGAACTCCCTTAGACTTGATGCTACAACTTCGAATATGTAGACTTCGCCATTGTTACGGGAATAGGCTACCCGGTAACGTGTATTAGACGCTGACTTATCCCTACTTAGGCTTCGGGATAAAAATACCCCAGACTGGTATTCTGGTGTCTTTTTCAATCGGTAAAAGACTAAACCGGCGACGCGTGTTAGGCGTCGGCATATCCTTTCTTAGGATTCAGGATGAAATTCCCCATGCGTGTAAGGCATGGATTTTGGTGTTATTAATAACAACCTGCCACAATGTTGAATATGTGGACGGATGTTCTTTTTAACGGTTAAGAACTAACCGGCGGTGCGGGTTAAGCGCAGACTTATCCTTGCTTAGGTTTCAGGATAGAATACCCCAGAATCGGATTCTGGTGTCTTTTTCTACGGAAAAAGACTAAACCGGCAGCGCGTGTTAGGCGCAGACTTATCCCTGCTTAGGATTCGGGATAAACTTCCTATGATGAATCCTAAATTGACAAATTCTTGGAAAAGGTTGGTGTCTTCTCTTGGGCCAAAGACGAACCCGAAATGGGAGAGGAAGAATTTTATATTCTATCTCCCGACACTGAAGAAGAAGAATTTTATATTCTATCTTCAGCTGGAAAGGAGACTCGAGGTGGGATCTCCACCCCCAGAATCCGGAAAGGTGAAACTAAGATTGGGACCCCCACTCCGAGAATCGAAAAGATTCAGATAACCCTAACTGTTGGAAGGTTTGATTACCGAACTAAAGATGAATTCCTCGTTTATCGAGAGTGAATTGTGGTTTTGGTCCTAACTATAGGAAGGTTTGACCAAGCAGGAGTTTGAGATGACCCTAACTGTAGGAAGGTTTGATCACTCGATTTGAAAGTGGACCTCTCGTTCATTGGAGGAATCGAGAGGGGATTTTGACTGTGGTGCTAACTGTAGAAAGGTTTGACCAATTCTGAATATTATGCTCAGACTCTGAGAGTGGTGAGAATTTGAATGAGAGTTTCTTATTCATTACCTTGCTGTGGTGTCCGGGTTATCCCTAAGAATACATTATATGGATTTCTTTTGGGAACTTCCCGTTACATGAATCATCTACCCCCAGCTTCCTCTGCAAAACTGGATATGGTATTGTACTCATTTGGGTGTTCGGGTTATCCTTAAGGATATACGATTCTCTGGTGGCTCGGTGAGCCGACCTCTAGGTGTTTGTCGTTTTGCCTCTTTGTGACCATTTTCCGGTTCTGCGGTTGATAGGTTCGGATTCGATTTGTTGACCTGATTTGGCAGTAAGTCTGATTCCTGATTTGGCAGTAAATCCACTTCTGAGTTCGAGTCCGAAACTGATCTTGATTCGATCGTGATTCGCCCGAGTTTGTTCCCAGTTGGATGACTCATTGATTCTTTAACACTTGGCTTGATTCCGAACGCGTATGGGTGCATTCCGTCGCTTGCACGCGGGTGGATGCATTCCGTCGCTTCTGTGCGATTCGTCGATCTCGTCGCCTCGTTGGTTCGTCGGTTTATGCCGAACTGTGCTAAGGGACCTATAAGCAATTTTATATGCCTACAGATACCCCCTCCAAAGTATTTCAGTCTCGTTCTTTTAT